GGTAAATGCAGTTTGATTTGGCGGACTGGGGGCAATAGTTGTTTCATCGATCTCGATGGTATCCGGGTGGTAGTGAAGATAATGACCGGGTCAACTGCGTAGTAGACGCATTCGACGGCAGAGTTCAACCCCTTTTCTGGTTAATTCATTTACGTCATCACCTTTGTATGGTAACTTTGATTTTAGGAGTAGTTGTTGGTTTTTCTAATTTTGTTTTTTTTTGTTGGTCTGGAATGTTCATAAATTCACAAATATTTCGCTGCATGAACCCATCGGGATTATTTGTCAGACAATTGCAGGTCAGGTTACCCATTAGTGAACTATCATGACTGCTACTTTTATGCACGTCAAGCGTTCGATTTTCGTTTCTCGGACAAGGATATCAGCAGATCTCACTGACTAAAAAAAAAATCACTTTGACTTCGGTATGCACATGTACAGATGCAGTGAAATGTCCATGGATAGATATATTTTACAAACCCATGTTTCTGATTTCTATATTCAATTTTATGACGGGAAAACATTGCTTTCGTAGATGTAATTAGTTGATAAATGTCAATTGGGCCTCCTGTATGCGTGCCACAACTTCATCTGCGATGCGTCTCCCGGGATTTTTTGATGTAGCTGCCCAAATGGCAAGATTTGTCTGCTTCATCTATTAATAATACAGTTTGAATTAGAGGTTGGGACGTGGGACACGGTTGTACGCTTTGGAGAAACGCAAGTCACTTATCTAACATTTACGCCGTTCAGAATAGCTTGAAAAGTGTGTACATATTCGTTTAGCAGTAAAATGTCCTTCGCCTTTGTCATCCCATATAAGTTTCCATATAGAAGCATTTTGACGCGGGATCCGCGCTTGAGGACGAAGCTGCCTACAGAACTATATCCATGACAAAGTTTAACGAATGAGAGGGAACCTTGTGAAACACTGATGCACATGATGAACTCTACAAACAAAAAAGAGTCATCGCTTTAGAAATTTGAAACACTGGGTCCTCTTTATCCATCGTATCCAGACCGAAAGAAGAAATATGTCGTGAGATGTTAACATTTCGTTTTATCTTCACAATCGCTGACGTAAAACAGACATTGGATCTTAGTGAACGGACATGTACAGTTAGACTATTAGGATTTAAACTGAACTGATTAGATCAACGACTTTTGGGCGCACAGAACGGGATGATGTAATCCGATTAGCATCGCCTCACTTACTGCCATCAGTTTTGCATTGCAGTTGCGTAACAACGGTTTGAAAGAGGAAGCGGGATCAGTTATGTGTTTGGATGTTATGTGGTATTTTGTAATTGATTACCACGGGTTACGTGTGACCGCCTGATTACTGGGCGTGGGTTGCGCCATCGACTTCATCAACCACTTTGGAATGTCCTCGGCCATCCGTTGTGATAATTGACAGTTGGTTCTAACTGTACATGTCCATTCCGTAGGATTTACAAAGCCAATGTGCTATGTGCTTGTTTGTTTTACGTCAACGATTGAGAAGATTACACGAAATGTTAACATCTCGCGACACATGTCTTCTTTCGATCTTTGTACGATGAAAAGGAATCAATCTGAAACCAGAATTTGGCTGTTCGTGTAGAGGGATCATACTGACATAACACCCGGCCTGCCACTTGATATAAGTGGCACGCAGCGCCGGTGATGTTGACCGAATCGATGACCGCTTTGTATTCAACAAAAACGGAAACGGCTGTTCTTTGTAAGAAATCTTTGAGTTCATAATTTGGCAATTGCTGAAAATATGGTTGTTGCTCCCCCATCCCCTATCTCAAACTAACCGGGTTCTCATGCGTGTATCGTAAGAATCATAGAGACGATGTTGGATAGACCGAGTCCTTCGTGGTTTTTCTTGTAGATCGGTATGATGATTGACTCACCATTCTGTTGGAACCTGTCCAGTTTCTCATACTAAACCTATGAGTTTCATCAACTCCAAAACTGAAGATGATTCTCCATCCTTAAAAGCTGATAGAGATAACCCATCCTCGCTGGGGTTGTTCGCCCTTTGAGATAACTGCATTTCAAAACAAAGACTTATATCAACTGGCAGTGCACGCCCAGCAGGAGTTTACAGGTCCAATCTCTATGGAGGCCAGTTGAACTGCGCGTCGAAATGTTCTATCCATCGCTCAAGACCACACTGCTCAACGTGTATCCACCTGCCGTTGAACTATTTAATTACCTCAGGCCTATTTCTCTTGAGTCCATACTCTTGATTACCTGAAAAACGGAGTCGTCTACCGACTGGAATTCAGTCACTCCACTTTGGCACCTGGCACAATCCGAACGCGGGTAACACCACGAGCCTTCGGTGTCAGATTGCCTGACATACACAGTAGGTGACACGTGAGAATGTGTTTGAATCCGAAGAATGCGGTGTGTGATCACTGTATGCGTCTAATTCGAAAGTTTCAATGGTTCTATAGACAAGACAATTGGTTCATGGATTGGAAGCAATGTTTTCCCGTCACAAATTTTAATAGAGAAGTCAGAAACATGGGTTTGCACAATGTATCCATGGTCATTTCGCTGCATCTGTACACGTGCATACTGCAATCAAAGTCATTTTATATAGTTAGTGAGATAATTCACCCCAACATGCACTGGCAAAGTGGTTAGCGAAGGTTCTGGTACC